TAATATGATTCATAGTTATTACCTATGTTAAGTCTCTTGCTTTAGTAGACTGAACAATATATACAGTGTGATCTGTTTTCAAACCTCCTTTGCAAAGTACCCCTCAGATCTTTAGGGCATAACTCCAAGACTGCGCTGTCCAAAATGGTAGTCACTAGCCTGTGTGACTGTTTAAACGTAAATTAATAAAATATTTGGTTCTCCTGTTGCACTAACAGTATTTCAGGTGCTCAGTAGCCACATGTGGCCTGTTAGTAGCTACCATCTCAGACAGCACAAAGACAGAACATTTCTGTCATTGCATCACATTCTGTTGGTGATCATTCAAGTTAATCAGTAATAGAGGTTTCCTGTGTTAAACTGTAAAATACTATAAAGTTGAGCTTGTGGGAAACAATATTTTGTAGGAACTGAGAAAAAAAAGAACATTAACTTTGAAGATGGGAAACGTGATTTTGTCCCAACTTTGCCATTTTCTAGTTATAAGACTTTGGGCATTTAATTTTTCGTAGTTAATTTGGGATTTAATTTCTTCATCTCTAAATTGTAGGTTTAAAAAATTTAGGCATCTATTGTTATTATAGTTAACTTTGGGTCTTTTTATTCCCTTAGATGCAACAATTATAAAGGACTTTTAGTTTTGAGTGAAAGAGGTAATCCAAAGAGAAAGAGAATGTGTTGAAGCTGATAGGAGAACCCTGCCTTTACTCACAGTTATTTTAACACGGATCAGTTAGCTGTAGGAACCACTAAACAAACCACTGCCCATGAGTATGTTTTATGGATGCAATGTAATCTCTGTTTGAGGATGTTAACTGTAAATTTTTAAGATTTCTTTTCCCAACATTGTTTTATTTCCCCCAGGCTTTTTTTGTTTGCTTCTTTTGCTTCCGTCCTTTCACATTGAAATGTCTGGTGATGATTAGCTGTCCATTTTTAAGACTGACCAGGCCATTTTGTTACGTGACAGTTTTTACAAATGCTTTGATGTCACATGCATGGATTGCCATCCAGTATAATTTTCCTTCCTCCCACTCACCAACCTTAATGCTTAAATATTTTAGGCTTTTGTTATGGCCACAACTCAGTTCTAGATTCCTATTTCTGTAACACTCAGGTCAATCTAGGTTAGGTTTTGCTAACAGTTTCAAGTTTTCCGTGGCTACACAATGGAAGTTCTGTCTCCCTCACACTACATGTGTGGTCTGAAGAGCCTTCTGCTCATGACCTCACTTCAGGACTCAGTCTGACTGAAGCTACATCATGCAACATATAATACTTCCACGGTTGCTGAGAAGGGGAGGAGAATAAGGCAGATTGTGCACCAGCTCTTAACACTTCTACCCTAAAGCACCCCAAGCCACTTCCACACACATTTCATGACCAAAGCAAGTCATATGTTCACGCCTAATTTAAAATACAGCAGTGAAATATTGCTTGCCATTTGCCCTGAACAGAGTAACTAGAATATTTATAATAGCTGTAATGGCTACCATAAGAAGTATTCCACTTATGCACATTTGGTAATTTCTTTTTTAATTTTATTTATTTATTTATTTATTTTTAAAATATATTTTATTGATTTTGTACAGAGAGGAATTGAGAGGGACAGAGAGTTAGAAACATCGATGAGAGAGAGTCATCGACCAGCTGTCTCTTGCACACACACCCCCTACTGGGGATATGCCCGCAGCTAAGGTACATGCCCTTGACTGGAATTGAACCCGGGACCCTTCAGTCCCCAAGCCGACGCTCTATCCATTGAGCCAAACCAGTCTCAGCTCTTTTTTTAATTTTAATTTAATTTATTTTATTGATTTTTCAAGAAAGGGAGGAGTGGGAGACAGAAACAGAGAGAGATCAATATGTTGCCTCTTGTATGCACCCCCACCAGGGTTCAAACTAGCAACAGACTGGGTCTGTGCCCTGACCTGGAATCAAACCTGAAACCATTCGATGTAGAGGATGATGCTCCAACCAGCTGAGCCACACAGTGCCTATAATTTCATTATGCTCTTGCTATCTTAATGAATTTCACACTATATGTGTCTTCCAAGAGTGAGATGTCTAAGCTCCCTTCCAGCTTCGACTTCTCCAGCTTTATGATTTAAGAACTGCTCCTCACCCTTGACAACTTGTTGAAAATTACTATGTTCAATAAATGTAGTGAAAATAAAGACATTAATAGGGGAGCTGTTTTCCTCAGTAGCAGTTTCTTTAAAAAAAGAAAGATACTGATTCAGAATCTTGAAAGAATTTTAGGTCATTTTTATTGCGGTGAGTTGCTGACAACATTTAACAATCACTTGTACCTTGAGTTATAAATGTACAATTTCAAGCTCTAAGATGACCAAATTATTCAGCTGACTTAGTGTTCTTTCTTGGTTGAAAATAAAAGCTTATTATTTTTATTTTAAAGTTTTTAAATCATATTACTTTATGATATCATTTAAAAAATATGTTAGGACCTTTATGTTAGATAAAATTTTATTTATATTTTATTTTAATTCTATTTATAAAATTTTAGTTCAAAGTTTTATGTTCAAACTTTTAAAAATGTTACTACTGACATTTCATAAGCCTAGTGACATTGTAGTGCCACGTTGCTAAATCAAAAAGACTTTCCCGTGTCAATACTTGTTTTTTCCTCATAATAAATTTAGTAGGTTATTTTAAATGATATAATTTTCTTTTCCAAACCTCTAAGTAAGTCAGTTTACACTAAAAATAAATTAATAGCCTCATTTTCATTCTATATTTGAAAATGACATTGTCTCTTGAAAGCAACCATATCAACACTTTGCTGAATTTTATTATTTGAAGCTCATGTATGTTTCAACATATAATTTAAAGAACTATTCTTTCATAATATGAATAATATACAGAGCTTAGTGAAGTATAAAGAGATGGGAGTGTAGATTTGGAAGGCCCAATCTAAGTAATCGATTATAAGTTTTGATACCTGTCAAAAATTGTAATAATGGTAAGTGAAATAAAATAAAAATGGTGATAGTGCCTATGAACACTAGAAATGAGTAAATAAATAAGTGATGGAATTTTACTGCAGAAACAAAACATATGAACAACCTGTGTCCATTCTCTTAATTGCAATAGTTGACCTATACTCCGCTTTGTCTGATTTGATAATCTGAGTGAGGAGTAAGGAAGGGGATGAAAGCAAAAGAACTCTATAATTCGTGAGGGAAAGCTTAGGGGAAATGAGAAGATTGGGTGTTGTTAAAAAAAAAAAAAAGCTTTAAAAACTATCATTGTTTTTATTTTAAAGGGCAGTTGTGTTTTTTTGTTTTGTTTTGTCTTGTTTTTCTAATTTCTACATCGCATCAGACAGCAGAAAAGTTGCTGCCAGTTGCACACTTCCCCTGGAAGGATTTCGCAGTGTCAGGTGACCTAAAACCAGTTAAAAAACCCTGTTTTCACGTATCGTATTCCTTTCACAATGAATACACTCCTTTTGGTTGAACTTGGAAGTATTGTTTCTATTTGTTCCATATAATCACTTGGTTATTTGTAATTATTGAGCTGTCTTTTGACTTGCGAGGGGTAGAGATTTTCTGGTTCAGTGTTTCCCTAAGTGCGCTAGTCATCTGTACTTATAAAACAAGGGCTCTGGCATCAATTATGTCAGGAAATTGCTATGTTAAACACAGATAAGATTCTTATTTCGGTGTCGGGGAGAGGGGAGAGCATCTCAGAAACTATCGTACGATGACTAAAGAGAAACAACATGTTGTACAGTGTTCCACAAACTTATTGACCACCAGATCCCTTCTTCATGGAGTCTGTTTTGAAACCACTGTTCATCAGAATGCATGTGGGGAAACTCAACTCAAACTTAAATTTTCAGATACATAGAAAAGAGATAAAATGACTCATTCACACCTGCACACTTGGACCAATGTCTTCTACCATATTTCGTTTTGCACCTTGTTGCCCCTAAATTCAGGGGGGGGGAAATTCTTTTAAGGCTACATGAGATTCCAAATTAGATCTGTAAAATATACAGAAAGGGGGTTGAAGAAATAAACTAGTGATTTTCAAACTTTTTTTTAAAGTATATTTTGAATTGGCACATTTACTTTGACAAATAGAGTAAAATCCGAAGAGCCAGTTCACATTTGTAGCCAAGGTTACACGTTTGTAATCAGAAAATGCCCCCCCCCACCACCAAAAAGAAAATCATCTTTCTTGCTATAAAAATGTATTTTCTTTCAAATTATAAAAAGTTCACACAGTATAATCATGTGTATTATCTAAAAGTTTCCCCACTTACCCAGAAAAGGACTGGAAAATGACTTTGTTGTTCCAGATTCCATCTCTACATATATAAACGTGCAACTTTCAAAGTCTTCTTGACATATTTGGTATTATGGTAAACACACTCTTCTTTAATCTTAATTTTTTAAATCAACAACATTACATGTTTATCTTCCTACATTAATACATGCAGATCTTCTTTAAATGGCTCAATGACATTACATTCTATAGCTCTACTACAATTTATTTAATCAATTTACCAGTGATGGACATTAGGGTAGTTATTTTCTTACCAGACAGTGCTGAGGTAAATTTTGAAATAGGTTTTTGTTTTTGTTGTTGTTGTTGTTGTTTGTTTTTGTTTGTTTGTGTGTGTGTGTGTGTGTGTGTGTGTGTTTTAACCTTTGTGTGAGTATGTCTGTAGGAGAGTCCTTGAAATGGAATCGTTGGGTCAAAGAATATACACCTTTAAATTTTTGTAAGATTGCCAAATTGCCTTTAAAACATGGTATTAGTTTATTCTCTCACTGCCAGCATTGCAAAAGTAAACTTTAAAATGGCATATAACCATCACTGAACTTAAACAAAAAAAAAAAGACTTATACGTAGTAATAAGTAACAAAGAATATTTTGCTAAATTAATCTTACAATTATAGAGATAATTTATAAAGCATTGATAATCATGATCTCTCCTTCTCCCCCCTTTCCTCCCCTACTCTTTACAGAGCAAATTATTCATGGAAGGATTTAGAAGCCTAAAAGAAGGAGAACCAGTGGAATTCACATTTAAAAAATCTTCCAAAGGCCTTGAATCAATACGGGTAACAGGACCTGGCGGGAGCCCCTGTTTAGGAAGTGAAAGAAGACCCAAAGGGAAGACACTACAAAAAAGAAGACCAAAGGGAGATAGGTACGTTATCATTTTCATTTGCTAGGTGATGAGCTTATTGCATTTAGGAAAGACTTTTGAAAATTTATTCATGTTTTTATGTTATTGGACTTCCTATAGTCTAGTACAAATACCGCTGGGCAGCTGAATGGGATTTTTCAGTAATATGGGCTCTCTTGCAATTTGAGCTACCCTGCAGTGCATACTGAACGCTCAGCATTGCACACTGACCAGTCCATCCCCTGCCACCATTTTTATTAGGCTATTCTGAGACCACAGATGTGGTCTTACCATATATCCCAACACCTCACCTCTTTTTTCAAATGGAAATATATCTATTGTTTTGCCTGTTTTAATGGATAACTCATATCATAACTCATATACAGAAAATTCAAATATTAAAAAAAGTTAGGGGAAAATCACTTGAAATACAAACTGAGATGGGAATTATATTATTATGTAATTTTTTGAAATTTGTTTTTTACTTAACAATATGTCACAGAACATTTCATGTCAATTATTAGGGCAATTATTAGACAGCCTTCCTACAGTGTGAATTAATCTTTGGGCAGTTCCAATTTGGCAATCATAAATAGAGTGACTACAAACATTTGGGTACCACTGTTCAAGAAACCTAAGTTTTTCATTTATCTCAGAGTAGGATTGATGGATAATATGGTCATAGCTATCTATTTAACTTTATAAGAAGCTGCCAACATTTTTTCCTGAGTGATTATACTGTTTTGAAGTCCCACCAACAATATATGAGAGTTCCAACTGCTCTGCATCTTTGCCAGCATTGTTATTGACAGTATTTTTTATTTTAACTATTCTAGTAGGTAGATATGTTGTCATGGATTTTATTTTCATTTCCCTAATGGATATTGATATTGAGCTTCTTTTTTGTTTTTGTGTGATCCTTTTATTTTCTTTGGTTTATACCTTTTGCCCACTATTGGATTGTTTGTTTTCTTACTATTGCATTTTGAGAGCTCTTTATATAACTGTAAGTAAAAGTCCTTTGTCAGACATACAGTTTGCAAATTTTTTTCCTGAATTTGTGGGTTGTCTTTCCAGTCTCTTAAACATCTCTCACAGAGGAAAGGTTTTAAATTTTGATAAAGATATTTATCAATCTTTTATGTTATATTTATGTGATGTCTTATTTAAGAAATCTTTGCTTAACCCTAGATCCCAGAGATTCCCCTCGCCCCATGTTTCTTCTTGTAGCTTTATAGATTTACATTTTACATTTATATCTGTAATCTTTTTAGAGTATACTTATGTATATAACGTGTTTGGGTTAGGTTGAGGTGTTGTTTTTTATATGAATAATATAAATTGTTCAAGTGCTATCTGTTGAAAAAAAATACATTTTATCTTGAAATGTTTATAAATTAGAAAGTTTAATCTACTTTCTATCATTTCAAGGTAAAATATTAAATCTTTAAAGTTTTTATTATAGGCAATGAAAACATTTAACAAATTCAAAATTTGGTTCTGTCACTCAAAAGAACTTACTTGTTCAATTCTAATCTATATTATATATATCAAATTTGTTTTATATATATAGTTTGTCCAATTCTAATACATATATGATAAAAACACATTTTGTGAAGATTCATGGCAAAAAACACAAAATAATTTAAAAGATTTTTGGCTTAATTTTGAGTAAACTAGTTACAAAAGTAAGTGGGGTTATTTTTTCATTCTGTCTTAAAATTGTTCTGAATTTAGTGTTCAGTGACTAGTGTCAAGTTACCCAGAAGCAGTGTTACCTTGTTTTATTTTAAATCCTCCACATTTAAAATGTTTTCTTAAAACTTTCAAATGAAATAATTTTAGATTTATTTTTGCTATTTAGTTTTTCTTACGTTCATTATCAAAGAGTAGAGGTTGACTAACCCTTACAATGCTCTTTTTATAGTAAAATGAAGGTTGTAAAGAAAAAATATTTTTAAACTCTATATTTCTTCTCACAAACTGGCTTACCCTTATGGTTTTATTCTTTAATAAACCACAATTTACTATGAGAAAAAGAAGTATTTTTTAACAGGAAGAAATTATGGGGGAAGAATGATTATGTATTTGCCACTGTTGATGTTTAGTATTTACATGAAATAATCATGTCAGCCTACAACATATGATTAAATATTTTATATAATAAAATTTTAGTTTATATTAATAAATATGTTATGTATAAACAGCATGTATACTAAAATAACTCGTTTGGAAATCTATGTGTGTTAAATTATTTTAATTCTTAATAATTAAAGAATAAAAACACATGTAATTTTTAAAATCAGTTGAAGTGCATGCATACATGGTAGAGAGATATATATATATATATATATATATATATATATATTGGATATATACATATAGCTTCATATTTTTTAATTGTTTATGTTTTTTTTTACCTCCTTTTTTATTCTGATTTTTTTCTTGGGCAGTGACTATCTTCTTTGTTCTCTTTAACCTTCCACATCTTTTGACCCAACCACGTAGTCCAAGAAGTGCTATTTATAATGCAAGTTTCTTTTCAACAACGTTGACTTGATATTTATAAAATAACTTAGAAAAGAATACCGTTGTTCTACTGCTTTTATTCCATTTCAGGCAATATTTTATTTGCATCACTGCATTAGTACATGAGTAAGCTTTTTCATTTTCTACATGAGTTGGAATTTTAATTTATTTTTAGAAAGAAGGGTAATTGTTATATAGTTCAGTAGTAATGCTTTTGGCTTATAAGTATAGGAAAAAAGTTTCATTTGATCATATTAGAAAGTCTTGTTCATTTAGCATTTTTAAGATGCTGTTCCTTTAGACTTAAAATTGATTATGAAACATGGCATTCCTTTTAGTCCACTATTAAAATGATATGAGAATGACATATTATGATATATTTACTGTTTATGGTGTGAAAGACAAGGTGAACATGAACAGAAACTCATTACATATGAATATAAATATATATAAATATATATGTTATTTTGTTTTTCTGATACTTTTCTGATACTTTGCTCTTTTAATTTAATATATTTATATTCTTAGCTAAGAAGATCTAACTTGTCCTTTTTAAAAATAAAAGTGAAGGTGTATGATTACTTTTACAGGACAATAATTTTGTGTTTCAAATTCTTTTAATTTGCAAGAAGGCTTGGGAGCCATAAGATATTTGTTTTTATTGAAGGATTGTATATTTTGATTTGTTTATTTAAAAATATTCTTTGAATGTCCATTTACCTAAGTACACTCAAAACTTGTGGTAATCCTTCTCTAACCCTTACCCCTCCCCCCACACACACTCTCTCACCCACACCTCTACAGCAGGATAACCTCTTTTAGACATTATCTCTGTGGTATAATTTAAAGTTTTTCAGATTCTTTGTGGCTAGGAATTCAGATATTTAAAATCTAGATGGAATGCCTTAAAGTAATAAATCTATATTTAGGTGTATGATACAATCATATTAATGATATCTGTTTTACATGAAAAGTTCTTTCAGTTATTTTATTTTCATATTTATTTATCTGAAAATCTGCTCCAAAAGAAAAGGAAAAATACTCTTTAAGTGGTAGAGATATTTAAATATGTAAATTAACAAATTCCAATAAATAACAGTTTCACCCTGATACTTGTGTGATTAGACTTAGGAATTTGCTGTTTCGTAGGTTCCTATTGTGGAAGAGAAATCTCTCAGGCATGAATTGATAGTCCAGATCCTTTGAGGTCTGTCTATTCTGACCTATGACCCCTATTCTTACAAGGTCAACATCTGAGGGCAGGAGATTAAGGCGGTTTAAAGACCGGAATGGTAAATGGAATGGAAAAATTAGCCAGCACATTTTGGGTGCAAAACATCAAAGTCATCAAATAGTTTGCTTATTTTAAACCTGGCTTATGGGTGTAACAAGCTAATTTTATTGTTTTTGATGGAATCATAAAAATTTATTAATTTTAATTCACTTCAAGAACCTATTTATATAATAATATGTTTTGACTGTATAATATGAATTAAGTTCATAAAGTTTAACTTCAAAATATCAGGAAATGCAAAAATAATTTGTCACAGTGTCAATACATTTCAGTCTTGTGACTAGTTTGGGTACGTAATTTAAATTTAAATTAGAAAAACATTTACCTTAGCTTTTGGTATGAAATTTTAATTTATCAACAATGTTAAATAAAACACAAACACCTATATCAGCTGACAATTTCAGGTGACTCAGGCTTTAGTTGTAATTCTATGCTATTGACTTTTAAGGAAAGCCTAGGTAGAGGTAGAAAGTAGAAGAAAGTTAATTGATCAGGCAGGGACAGCTTTGTTCTTTTGTTTTGTTTTGTTTTTCTGATACTTTGCTCTTTTAATTTTAGTCCTTTCCCTCTTAAACTGTTCCTCATGCCTTTGATTATATGCTTTTCATTGTAATTTCACAATATAAACCAGTAGGTATCCCTTCTTATTTCCTATTTTTGGTCCCTTGTAAGCAATCCCCCAGCACCCTTTATTTTACATTTGTTTGTATCCCAGACAGCTGTGAATTTGCATCTTCTGCTTCCTACTAATGACTGGCAAGGGCTGGAGCTGAATAACTGAACTGTTGCATCCAACTTTCTTTTCATTCATACAGTGACTAAGAAAAATAGTAAAACCAATAGAATACCCAAGTCGCCTTAATTCTTCTACATTTTTTACTCTGTCTCACATTTACCTTATTATTGACTTAATTTTAGGGTGGTTTTCCAAGTCCTTTTATTCTTGTGATTATTTGGCCAGAGATCTCCTAATGAGGCAATTATAGTTGTTTCCTTCATTCACATTATCTTAGCAGATGCTCTCCCTGCTGTGACCTCTGTTCAGAGGGGCAGACAATGTGCCATTCTCATCACCCTCTCTCTGCAAGACATTGTGTGGGGCCGAGCTTCATTGGGCACTGCCTAGGTCTCCCAAGGTGCCTGATGGGAATAGTCAGAAGCCAAGTGGCAAATAATCACAATTTTAGGTTGATTTTCT